TAAGGCTCTGGCTGCCCCTTATTCTGCCAGCTAAGGCTCTGGCTGCCCCTTATCCTGCCAGTGTGAGGCAGTGTGTGAGGCAGCTTGACCTGGCACACTGTGAGGGATGGGCTGCCTCACTCCCTACTAGCTGCAAGCTTGGGCTAAATCACTCCCTACTGGCTCAAACCGATTCACATCCTACCAGCTTGGGCTGCTTTACATCCTACTGGCTTTGATTTTCTCGCATCCTACCACCTCAGACTGCCCCAAGTTCTATCTCTGGCTGTCTTCTCTCCTGCCAGCTCCTGCTGCCTCACTCCTTACCAACTTCTGCAACCTCACATCTTACCAGCTCAATCTGCCTCACTTGCTACAAGCTCAAACTGCCTCACATCCTACTCCAATACAGTTTATAGATGTGTTATTTGCCATATATGTTCCTGCCACATGTTGTACCCGTCAGGTTACTTGTATATATTTACTTGTGTTGTGTTGTTGTGTATGTTTTCATTTCTTCTTCTCTCTTTCTTTCTTTTTCCTCTGCCCTCACCAAAGACTCCAAATAACCTCTTTTTAGGTTCTAGCTCTTGCTCTATTTCTTTCCTAAATTTTTAATAGTAACCTACTTCCACACTAGTATAAGTGCTTCCTCTGTGCCTGCTACGCCCCAACTCCCCTGGGTAGCAATTACTTGGACTGACGTCTCTTAACTTAGGCTTTCAAACTAGACGAGAACGGCACACTTTATCTTACCTAGGGCTTCCTTACCACAATACTCCCCTTCACGACCGTTTCACCAATTCATTACATTTCAGCTTATTGATTGACTTTTCACAGCAATACTCTACCATACTCGCTTTAAACGCTGCCCACTCTTTCTCCCTGCCTTTTGTCTTACCTTCTCTTCCCCTCTCTTTCTTTTACTCCACTGCAATAGATAAATTCATGCATAAAACTCCCTCCAAAAGACCCCAAGGTAAGCCACAAAGACCTGCCAAGAAACAAAAATTTTATAGAACCAACTCTGTGATCTACTCCAGCCATATCACCACGAGATTCAGATACTGAGGCCCATTCCTCCCAGCTCCTGCCTACCTCTACTCTCATCTCTAAGCAACCCTCAGAACCACCTCGAGAAGTCTCCAATCTTCTTAAACTAATTTTTGAATCTCAATTCAAAGATCTCAAAGAGTGTATAGACAGTGCAGTTTATTTGTTGCAAACTCATTCATCTCAACTCACCTTATTGGAGACTCGATAGAGCACAACTGAGGATGAATTGCACCAACAAAAATCCACGATACACCAGCAACAAGCCACCTAAACATTATTACAAGATAAATTGAATGATCTTTAAAATCGTAGAAGAAACAATCGCCGATTTGTGGGGTTTCCGGAAACCTTAAAACCAAGTGACATCACTTCAATCCTGGTTGCTGGACACACTCCAAATTGCCACTACCTCCTCCTCCTCAATTATCATCGAAAGGGCACTTAGACTTGGCCCAGAACGATTGGATAAGTTCTCAAAACGGCCCATCGTAGCAAAGTTTCTGAATTTTTATGACAGTAAGAATTCTAGCAGCTTTCAAACAAATATCCCATCCAATTTATCAAGACAACAAAATCTTAATTTTTAAGGATTATTCTGCACAGGTTACTCAACTTCACTCCAATTTGCCCGGCACTACACAAGAAGGGTTATACGGTTTGCCCTTCTCTACCCTGCCACTCTCCGTCTCACCATAGCAAACGGAAACCTCTCTACTGCATCGATGGACGAAGCAACTGCTTTTTTAAATTAGGCCCTTCCAGACTAGGAGAGTCCCTACTTTGTCTTATGTTTAAAAAAAAAACTAGATCAGTTAGGAAGAAATGAAGAACAGATCCTGAGAGAGGAAGAGAAGAGGAATTAATAGAAGAAAAGTAAGGTCAGCATGGGAGTGCCGCTTTACGTTTCTGCCAATCTACAAAACAAACAGTATCTAATTACTGCCAGGTCTATTGTCCCTTATTGAAGTATACATTAAAGCAGTTATTGCAACGTTTTTAGAAATAAACCTTAAATACAGATTAAATGTTTGTTAGGGTATATATCTTTATCTAGCTAAGGATGAAACTCCAGTGACCAAGCACTAAAGTATACAAGTATAAGTATACAAATATAAGATGATTGTCTATAAAAGAGGAAATTCCAGTATATTTTTTGATATATAATGTGTTTGATATGTTGTCCTATGTTCCCATATGTGACAAACGCTCCTTCCCACGAACATTTGCCACAGACTCCTGGAGGAGGACGGAAGCCGGTTTCCTGCCCACCGACTATAGTCCAGGTCTGAGACACCATTATTAGCTTTCCCTGGGTGCGCCTGGTTCGGCACTTTTCCTTCATGTGAATGGAACTGAACACTAGCTCCCTGGTGGCCTTTTGCATGAACCAAACCCACAAATGGTCCTCAGCAGTACTTAGCCTCGACCGCTATAAAACTAATTTCGACATGAGGACTTTGTGGGTCCCCAGTCACCTCAGCGGGACTTAGCCACAAATGTTATGGAATTGTTTTCGGCATGGAGTCCGGGGTTTTGAACCACTTTGAAATCCACCAGGAGAGCGCTTTTTGGAGGGAAGGGGAACAAACACAACCTGAGAGGAGCACCCCGTATTTTGGCAGCAGGAGCTCCCGAAAATTGACTGGCAAAAGCACCAAAAGCCCTGGAACTATCGTGGGCTTAGGACCATGTGTGCTGCTGGCCAGAACTTTAACATGGTGGCGTACACTGCATGGATCTGAGTGCTATTTGGAGAACTTGGGTGCTCAGATCAGGGCTCTTTGGGGATGTATAATATGTGGGGTATTCTATGTTTTTATTATGTTTTGGGTTACTTTTATGTTTTTATATTTTGTGTTAGCTTACTGGTTTTTAACGCAATTATCTCCCACACCAAGAGATTCCTGGGAGGGGCTTGTGTTGAGTACAATGGAAAATTAATTGTGCTGAATCCTGCTGAAGTCTGTGCATAAAAGGATGAGTTTGGCTCAATAAAATCAGTTGTACTGGGAGGGGAAAGGGATAATCACTGCTCAGCATCTTGTTCCAGCTCATAGAGGATTCAGCGGGGAAAATCCTTGTAAGGACTACATCTTCCAGGACTGTATGTCATCCAGTCCCTGGGAGGTAATAGAGCTAGTCCCCTATCCTGCTTCAGGATGAAGCGGCTCCAGGAGGACCCCAGTCAATCCATGTGTGGTTACTGTATGTTTTTATGATGTTTTAGAGTATTATGTTTTTGTGTTCCTCTGAGATTATTAGCTTACACTTAATTATCTCGCAGGCACATAGCTCTTTGTGAGGGGTTTGCATTGTATTGTGTGGAGACCCTCTGCTGGGGGCTGTGTATATAAGCAGGCCACTTGGCCATAATAAACCAGTTCCTTTTAACCCTTCATTCAGTCTGTTTTGGTGGATCAGCTTAATCACTTGAAGGAGAGCTTAATCACTTGAAGCTGTACCCAGCACCCTGTTCAAGGGCAGAGCGCAACGGGAAGACCCCAGTCAAGCTGTGGCGGCTAGGGATTGAAGGACTCCTGTGTCCTGTTGGAGAGCTAGTAAGCGAGCTTGATGGAGGTACCCAGTCGGGGTGCCAGGCGGTCCGTCATAAAGTCTAATCCCAGATTTAAAATTTGCAAATGATTTTTTTTTCAGTCCAAGCTCTTGTTTCCAGAATGACATTGATACTTTAAAAAGAGTTCAGAGAAGGGCTACTAAACTGGTTCATGGATTGCAGGATAAAACTTACAAGGAAAGGTTAAAAGAACTTAACATGTATAGTTCAGATAAAAGACATGACAGGGGGGGATATGATAGAAAGATTTAAATACACTATATTATAGACTATTTTTAAAAGAAGAAAAACTTTCACAACAAGAAGACATAGTCTTAAATTAGAGGGGCAAAGTTTAAAAATAATATCAGGAAGTATTACTTTACTGAGAGGCTAGTGGATTCATGGAATAGCCTTCCAGCTGAAATGGTAGGGGTTAACACAGTAAAGGATTTTAAGCATGCATGTGATAGGCATAAGGCTATCCTAACTATAAGAACAGGGACGAATGACAGTATTTCGAAAATTGGGCAGACTAGAAGGTCCGAATGGTTCTTATCTGCTGTCACATTCTATGTTTCTATGTTTACAAATGGCAAAGGCCTAATATTTCAATGAAAATGTGAACAATAACATATCAAACCAGTAATGTGAAACGGTACAAGTAATTCAACTTGACAGGTGCCCTGCCCATTTTTATTAAACAAAGCTACACATTATGACATTGAGATTTTTTACATATTGGCGTCCATTTTAATGAAACAACGCCCATGGTGTGTTATAGACATGACCGATGGACTTTACTGTGTATTAGTGTCCATTTTAACTAAAATATATATAAATATTATTCTTAGGACATATATGTGCCACCATATGGTTAGAAGAGCTACTACATGTTATTATAGGATTTCTATTTATTTATTTTGAATTTCATTTAGAGGAGGGTATGACTAAATGGTATGACAAGTCTGGACATATTTTTGAAAGATGTGTCTGGGGCCTGTTTTGAAAGTTTAGAACAAACCTAGGTTTATAAATCAGAGATATAAATAAATTCCAAAGTATCTGAATTCTTCATCAAATCATCCTCAAACATCATCGTTGTCAATGAAGAGACATGTTGCACTTGATGAATGGGCCACTGCCCAGTCCACCCTCAGTTGTCTGGTTCTTGGTGAAGCCTGCACCTCACTTGTTTCTGGCTCGTTTGAGACAGAACTAGCGACAGCACCTTAGTGCTGTTATAGTGGTTTGCTTCCAACACATTATTTTCTTTTTGTTGTAAATTTCCTTATAGCAGGCATAACCATTTTTCAAATATACTTCTCTCAAAGTTTGAATCTTGTGACTCAAACATATTAATTGCCTTTTATATGTCTTGAAATTCTTCCTTGAGGCCTTTGAAAGTGCAGTAACTAGTGTCAAAGTTTCAGTCCTCCAGGGACTTTTCTCAAGACGTCTTGAGAAAAGTCCCTGGAGGACTGAAACGTTGACACTATTTACTGGAAATTTGATGCTTTGAATAAACAGCACGATTTGAAATAATTCTGAGTCCTGTGAGTGCACTTCAAACAAGGATTTATATATATATTGTGATCTTTGTTTGCAGGTAGCACGGTCCTCTAGGGCAAAAACATGCACAGTCTTTTAATGCAACTTCATTCCAGGCACTTTATTTGTAAATCCACACAGGATACAGCAGTAAATGAAAACATAAATGTAACGCAAAACCCTATAAACAAAAACTTAGCTCGTCTGAGCACTAACTCACTTTGAATAACCCTCTCTATCAGGGTTAAACTAACAAAACATACTGCACCAACCTCATTAGATAGCAACACTCTGCTAGCTAGCCTGATGCTTTTCTTTCTCCACTCCCAGTGCTCCAAGCCAGCCTTGCCCTGACTGCTTTCCTTTCTGCACTCCCAGTGCTCCAAGCCAGCCTTAACTGCTTCCTCCTGCACTCCCAGTGCTCCAAGCCAGCCTTGACTGCTTCCTTTCTGCACTCCCAGTGCCTAGTCTCCTTGACTCTCTATCTGGAGAGAACAGCCTCTCTCCTACCTGCTTCCTGGGAGGAAGCCAGCAATCCCTCTCCTTTTCCTGCCTAGCCGGGAGGGGTTTATTCCCACTGCAATAGCTCATTAACTGCAGCTGAGCAGTGGGTTGGAGACGGTCCAAAAAACCCTGGCCTGGATCTATGTCTCCCCAGAAAACCACTAAACTGTGGAGTGGAGCATTGGCCCACCCTTCTCTCCAAATGCTCCACCCCAGGGGCCCATAACTAAACAATGCTTTGTGTTGTGCAACACACAAACTACACGTACTTCCCCTGGGGCTAAAAGGCCTATCTGCCTTCACTTTATCACAATATATATAGTGGACCGGCACTCAAGGAATTTGATCAAAAATCTTTACTGTTCAAAGAAGAATCGACATTTCAGCTCCTCTAGGGAGCTTTCATCAGGACATACATAATCACAATATAAATGAAACACTTATATAAGGAATAAATAAATACATAATTAAGGTACTTACATACAGCTGATGATAAGGGGCTGCCCGTCGCCGTTTGCCGCCATGAGTGTTGCAACCGAACTCACTTCCGGGTCGGTCACATGACCGCTACTAGCTTACTGACACGACGCAATGCGTAGGTGCTAAGCAACCAAAGACGCCAACGTCCCATTGGTTGTAGCTAATCTCTACAGTGTCCAAGTGTGGACAATTTTAATCTAAGTCATTAAGCCCATTTGTAAACGTAATTTTCGCCAAAAATGACGGCACAACACCCACCGGCCTCTCGGGAACGAGCAGCCGCTGTGCAGGCAACAGCATTGCACATTTATATATACACTAATTAAGTGAAAAACATAAACAACATAAAAAAATATTTTTATGACATTCTAAATTTCAGAAAGATCCCTAAATCAGGGATAAGAAGAGTCATATTAAAATATAAAACGAAAATGTCGAAAAAATCAATTAAAGATTGTGAATTTATCATATCTAAGACTCTATAGGTATGTATGTAAAATGGTGATTAACACTGAATAAGTAAGTAGTGTTTTCAAATTGCAAAAGAATAAAATCTGTTATGTTCATTATGATAATTAATATAGTGATAACTTCTATTGAAAGTGTATCAGCAATAGAAATAGTTGTGACATAAAAAAGCATGCAAGTGCTATTCAGTTTGTTAAACTATTATCTAGTAAGAAGTGTATCGAAATCATCACATGCATGTCGTCCCCTGCATCATCATAAACTGTATGTACCAACATATGAAAAAACTATATATTAAAAATAGCAGTATCTATTGAAAGTGTATCAGCAATAGAAATAGTTGTGACATAAAAAAGCATGGAAGTGCTATTCAGTTTGTTAAACTATTATCTAGTAAGAAGTGTATCGAAATCATCACATGCATGTCGTCCCCTGCATCATCATAAACTGTATGTACCAACATATGAAAAAACTATATATTAAAAATAGGAGTATCAAATCTAAAATAGAAACAACTCAAAACATAATACTCTATCATACATTTAAGTGGACCCTGTTCTTGCCAAAATTAGTCTACACCAAAAAAGCCATATTATATAATCAGACTTCATAAGCTCCCTCAGAAACCTATCTCATAGAAATGTTATGAAAGATAGGCAAGCCGGATACTGGATCTGTGGCCTCTGATTCTCTCACAGAGTGCTGTCTCTGTTTTCCCCACGTAATTTAATCCACACGGACAAGTGAGTTTGTAAATTACGTGATCAGTACGACAATGTATCCGTTGACGGATCTTGTACACTTGTCCTGTGTAGGGGTGTGTGAAGATTTTAGATGGAATAAGATGACCGCATGTCACACAGCCCAAACACCTTACACACCCGAAATTGATATTGCCCACTTTCGTCTTATCGTAACAATGTCGAGGATCAGTCTTGACCAACAAGTCTCTTAGGTTCTTGTTTCTTCGGTAGCAGAACATAGGTGTTTGTTGAAAAGTCTCTGGAAGTGTGGGATCAAGTTCCAATGTATGCCAGTTTTTTTTGATGGTTGCACTCAATTCAGAGCTTGCATTGTTCAATTGTGTAAGAAACCTACATCTGCTTGCTGTCATTTTAGCTTCTATCCGTGTCTTTGGTTCAGATGCTGTCTTCGCTTTTGACAGGGCCTTATCGAGAACCTTTCGGGGATTACCCCTCACTTGAAATTTCTCGTACATCTGAATAAGTTGATGTTCACACTTTTCTCTCAGTGAGTTATTTCTTAAAACTCTTAAAAACTGTGAGTAGGGCAATGAGTGTTTCAGATGTGTAGGATGAAAACTGTCAAAGTGCAATAGTGTGTTCCGATCTGTCGGTTTGGAAAATAAAGTATATTCCAATCTTTGGTTGATAACCATAATCTCAATATCAAGAAATTGTAAATTCGATTCACTGATGTTAGAAGTGAATCTTACTGGAGAAGGTAATTCATTAAGGTTATGCACAAATTGGACAGCTTCATGTTTTGTCCCGCCCCATAAAATTAGGACATCATCGATAAACCTGAAGTAGCGGACAATTTGATGTGCATATGTCTGGAGGATATTTTTGGTTTCATATTCGTACATAAAAGTGTTGGCATACATTGGAGCCATCGCAGCTCCCATTGATGTGCCTGCTATCTGTAGAAACCAATCCTTTTCAAAGCGAGAGTAATTGTTTTGAAGAGTGATGCTCAAAAGTTCTAACACAAATTCAATGGCGGGTCCTTTGTAATATTGTGAGTGAGAAAGCAGATGGCGCATAGCTTGGATGCCTTCAACGTGAGGAATGATAGTATAGAGGCTACCAACATCTAAAGTCATCAGAATGCCCTTAAAGGTGCCAACTTCTTTCAATCTTTGGAGAAGATCAGGGGTATCTTTAATACAAGTTTCTAAGGAAGTAACTGGAATTTTAAACAGGTGATCTAGATACCTAGCTAGGGGTTCCAAAATGCCTTGTGTAGCCGACACAATTGGACGTCCAGGAGGATTTGTCAGATTTTTATGAATTTTCGGCAAGGTGTATAAAATAGGTGTCCGTGGTTGTTCCTTCCTCAAATATTGGAAAAGTTCAAGGTCTATATGTCCAGCATATAATCCAGATGTTAACACGTCCTCAATCTTCCTTGCTATTGCTTCTGTAGGATCATTTTCTAAGCGATGATAGGTCTTAGTATCACTTAGTTGTTGTCTAATCTCCTTAGCATAAGCTTCATATTCCTTAATTACTATCCCACCTCCTTTGTCCGCCGGACGTATAACAATCGAGGAGTCAGTGGACAGATTCTTAATAATGTTACGTTGGATCTTTGTGACATTGGAATATTTTGGTCGGTGTTGTTTCAGAACTGTTTCAGATTCCCATTTAGTTGTAGATAAAAATGTCTTAATTGAATCATGTGTAGCAGGAGGGTCAAAAGTGCTAGATGGTTTGAATTGATATGAGGTACTCGAGTTAGATGACTCGCTAATTGGGGTCATAGAATTTTTTAAAAATTCCTTTAATCTGATTGTACGGCCAAATTTATAGAGGTCTATCTCCCATTGAAATGGATTGGGGAGTGCAGTGGGTATAAAGGAAAGGCCCTTGCTTAACAGATGTATTTCTGGAACAGTTAATTCACGTTTTGAGAGATTAAATACAGGAATTACCTGCGAACTGGTGGTTTCCCTCTGAGACCAGTGGCATTTTCCTTTCTGTCCACGTCTGGTGTTATTCCTTTTATGTGTTTTCCTCTGCTCCTTGTGACGGTGGAAGGGGGTGACATCTTGTCCTGGTCCCTGATTTGATCTAAAAAAAACGATCTATTATTTCCAGTTTGATTAGTTTCACCTTCTGAGGCTGATTCCCCAGATGTAACATCAACGGTTGTTACATTAGGTTTTACAATTCTTTTACGGAATCGCCTCGGTCTTCATTTATGTCCACCTGTTAACCATCGATAGACTGTCCCCTCCTGGACGTCCAATTGTGTCGACTACACAAGGCATTTTGGAACCCCTAGCTAGGTATCTAGATCACCTGTTTAAAATTCCAGTTACTTCCTTAGAAACTTGTATTAAAGATACCCCTGATCTTCTCCAAAGATTGAAAGAAGTTGGCACCTTTAAGGGCATTCTGATGACTTTAGATGTTGGTAGCCTCTATACTATCATTCCTCACGTTGAAGGCATCCAAGCTATGCGCCATCTGCTTTCTCACTCACAATATTACAAAGGACCCACCATTGAATTTGTGTTAGAACTTTTGAGCATCACTCTTCAAAACAATTACTTTCGCTTTGAAAAGGATTGGTTTCTACAGATAGCAGGCACATCAATGGGAGCTGCGATGGCTCCAATGTATGCCAACACTTTTATGTACGAATATGAAACCAAAAATATCCTCCAGACATATGCACATCAAATTGTCCGCTACCTCAGGTTTATCGATGATGTCCTAATTTTATGGGGCGGGACAAAACATGAAGCTGTCCAATTTG